ATATTATTTAAATCATTCTCTACTCACGAGGTTCATGTGTTGACTGATTTTATCATTTGTCTACTTCAACACTTGGTGTAAATAACAGCCTTAATGAATTCTGGGAAATAATTCAATATCTGTATCAAATACACAAGTACCTCACCAGAGGTTAGTAGGCTTAACTGTGATATTGATGGCATTTATATTAACTTGTGTGTATGTGTGACGTATGTTATTAGGTACCCATATAACCAACAAAGTCTTGGACTCGCAACCAACTTGATAGATATAAATAGCTAACTGGCAGTCTCTTGTTTTTTTTTTTTTTTTTTTTTTTTTTTTGTTGTTGTTGTTTCCTTAATCATATTATATTTTGGCAAAAAATTTTCAAAACGAATCCGTCTTCTGTCTACAAACCAGTCCCTGATGGTTCTGGGAATTTTCTTCAAAGGTTAACTCAGCTATTTTCATAATCATAAAATTAACTGATGGTCTATAGTAGACAGTAGGAATTATACACATATTCTGAACGTACTTTACACGTTCCTTATAGTTTCATCCCCCCAGACCACAGTGTAACTACGAAAGTGTCCCACAAGTATGAAAAAGTTGGCCATTTCTGGTTTAGAGTAATGTGCTTAAGATACTGATGGGGGTTCAAACCTCATCTGTAATTCTAGAGTTAATAAATATTGGGTAATAAGTTGCGATTTTTTTCTGTTCTAAAATTCATGCTGTTAATACAAAAACTTCTTACCGAACTTGCTTTCCTTACAATAACAGTTATGAGTAAATTTGCAACTAGTACGTGGCACAGTTTTCTCATTGTTCTTCGTCACGTCAGGCTATTGTGTTGGTGGTTTGATAGACATGGGTTTTGTATGGAGAATAAGCGGTCACCTGATCTACTAACCTAGCTAGAATACCTAAATCCATTAACGTTTTTTTTAAGTCATCTTCTCTTCGGGTTTCATATTTCACAGCGTATTTTTGTATCTTTCTTTTTAATGGTTGATTTAGAGCAAAGCCACATGGGACTACGTGCTGTGTCGACCGTGGGGAGGGGGAGGGTCGAACTCCGGATTTTAACATTGTAAGCCAGGAAACGATAGGACTGCTTTTAATGATAAAGAAAATTGCGTTTCCCTCAACGCACTGTGGTAGATCTCTGGATTATGGAGGTGGCAAGCCGGATACGAATCCATGCAATACCACTAAATATTCCCTGCACTTTAGGCTGTGTGTGCGTTATAAGAGTGGCAGCCAATCCCTTATTAAATGTGACACAAAACTACTGAACGTACCTTAACATCATCACCCTAACACTACTAACAAGTTTCAAACATAGTGTTTATTAATCAGTGCCAGCAGTGAAATTATAATGTTTCAGGACTAGCTTTGTCAAAATAAAAGTTGATTATCGATCCGAAAGTTGTTATTCGTCTATTATTTTCACATTAATCAAAGTGGTTGCTAAATTACTCCAATTTGATAAAGAAAATTGTGTGACAATTTGTATTTATAATAAGGTTGCTGAGGCTATCTGCACCGTTCCCAATTTTGAATTACCAATCATAGCACCCTACCACCTACAATCCGCGCTATGGAACTTACTGTTCTTCTTGTAACGTACCCACAGCTTAAAGCGTGGGGAATATTTTATGGCATCGCTTGCCAGCTCCATAATCCAGAGCTCTACCACAGGACATTGCGTGATAATGTTGTTTATTTTAGAGCAGAGCCACAGTGGGCTATCTGCTATGGCCACCGCGGGAAATCGAACCCCGGATTTTAGCGTTGGAAGTTTGTAAACTTACTGCTGTCCCATCGGGGGACACGCGTGACAAGGAGGCAAACCTTATTATTATGTGATTGTAATATAAACTTATAACAATGCGAATTATTCAACCTGTTGTTTCAAGTGAAGGTTAAGAGTTCTAAAATGCACATAGAAAATCAGGGTTAAGAGTTGTTAAAGCCATGTAGAAAATCAGGGTTAAGAGTTGTTAAAGCCATGTAGAAAATCAGGGTTAAGAGTTGTTAAAGCCAAGTAGAAAATCAGGGTTAAGAGTTGTTAAAGCCATGTAGAAAATCAGGGTTAAGAGCTGTTGAACTATTTACAAGAAAAACAAATTGTGTTCCCGGTGAACATGTTTTCTTTCCTACTGATCGAATCGTCAAAAAGGAAGTAGGAATTATAAGCTATTTCGAATTTTATAATTGTACCTGATTGTTGTTGTTCTGTGGTGCTCTTCCTGTTTTTTCACCGAACAAATTTTGGAATTAGTCCAGTAGATGCTTCAACTGGCAAAACAACATATACGATTTAGACATCAGGCTGTATTGAATCATCTCAGTGGATCGCTGACGTTTATAAGCACAATCTTCTTAATAGGCTCATTACGTGTTTTTAGTGAATAGGATGTAATTATCATGTTAATTAATATAAGAAACCCTGATTTTTTATTATTTGTATGCTATATTTCGAACTCAGATAATTGGAAGGACACAAAATATCTTACTCCATTTATTGAGCACCAAAACCCCCTTTTTAAATGAAAATCCGGATATCTGCACCGGTGAAAAATGAGAGTACATATTTTAAAGAAAGTTCACATTATTATGCAGTTATTGTTAACACTTGTCTGATCAGAACGAAACCCTATCTGAAAGATCCATAAATTTTGTAGCCAAAGCGGAAAGGATTTTTAGAGGCAGCTGAATCGATCCATCTGGGTTTTGATACGCTCCGTGTTTCAAACACAACCGGTAGGTGTCTTCTATAAAGCCTGTTTTGTCGTCTGGAATTTTTGATACAAAAGGCGATATTGTATTTAAGAAACCTGAAAAAAAAAAAGTATATCATTATATTCTCGTCATTGGTAGTTTTAATAATCCACAAACGTAGTTTTAGTTGAATTACTTTCTACATTCAAATACACCACTTTAATGACTCTGAGGGTCGCGGGTTCGAATCCCCGTCACACCAGACATGCTCGCCCTTTCGGCCGTGGGAACATTATAATGTGACGATCAATTCCACTATTCGTTGATAAAAGAGTAGCCCAAGAGTTGGCGGTGAGT